TACATATATATATATATATATAAGCAGTGTTGGGAGCCACTCCAGCTGACTTTATATCACACGTGTTTAAGAACGTCAGTCATTACATCTTAATTTGAAGATTAGGGAATAAAAGAAAAAAGAAGGAAAGGGAAGGGAAGGGAAGGGAAGGGAAGGGAAGGGAAGGGAAGGGAAGGGAAGGGAAGGGAAGGAGAGAGGGAAAGAGAGAGGGAAAGAGAGAGGGAAAGAGAGAGGGAAAGAGAGAGGGAAAGAGAGAGGGAAAGACCTGGATTTAAGTGAGCAAAAAAACCTCTTTGCATCTGTTGGCAGCGCACAGCAGGGAAAGCAAAAACCAAACGTGTGGAGGAACCGCAGCTCCTGCAGCTACAGAACTTCTGTCACAGGAGCAATAACCTCCATTTATTATTATTATTTTTTTTTTTTTTTAAGGATATTTCTCAGCGTTATCCTTTCCGTCAGAGCCTGAAAATTCTCCTGCAGCTGATACAGCAGATTTTCCGCCTGCGGAAAGAAAAACAGAAAGCGACGATAGGGAGACCGCTCCTCCCGCTAGCACCCGCCACCCTTCGCCTCCCAGCCGGCTGACAGGAAAGCTCCAACAGCTCCGAGCCGCGGAGCCCCCGAGCCCCGCCTGCAGCAGAGCGAAGCCCGATCTCACCAGCTGCGAGAGCCGCTCCGCGCCCGGCGGCTCCCCGGCCGCCATCACCGCTGCGCACAGGTGGGTGGCGAGGCGGCGAGGGACGCCAACGGGAATCGGCGTTGTCGCGGAAGCGGCTCGGCCCGACGATGGCGACCGCCGCGATGCCGTCGGGCGGCTCCCCGCCCGGAACGCTGAGAATTCGCCACCGTGCTGAGGGACGTCAGAGCGGGAGGAGTTGGCACGGGCGTGCCGGCTGCGTGGGAATCATGCAGGCAGCTCGGCTGCTTTTTGCTTGCCAACTTGCTGGCGTCACTGTTGCGACGTGAGAGCAGGACGGCCGTCCTTCCCTGCTGGCTGTCGGGCTGTGCCGTGCCGTGTCCGCGCTCGCTGAGCGGCGCCGGGAGGATGGCCAGCCTGGGGGCAGCTGGCGTTTTGCGTGGAGTTGCTGGTGAAGCGCTGGAGATGCGGCTGGCGGTTCTGCACGTGGTTCTTTGCTGAGAATCGTGCGGAGTACGGCAGAGCTCACCGTCTCGCCAGTGTGTGCGTGCTCTCTAAGCGACTGCATCATTTAATATAGCCTACCTGTGGGTTGTTGTTGTTGTTGAGGTTTGATCTTCAAGGGGCTTAGAATGACACGTGACTTAAGTGATAAATGAAGAAAAAATGTCTGCCGACCAACAAGGCCAAAGCTGCCTTGTTTTGTTTTTAAGTTTGGTTCGTTTTTCTCATGTAATTAGCTTCATAATAGAGAGTGGTACAAATACCTGCTCTTGTGTAAATGTACTGTGCCTGAATTTCTAAGCAGAGGACCAAAAGTATCAACAGGAATTGTGTGCCTCCTCCTACCAGGCCTGCAAACATGTAAGTCGTCCACAGCTTTTAGCTCTACAGCATCAAAAGCTCCTGGTACATCTGTTGCAAAGGTCTCTGTAATAACACTGCATAACAGTGCCTGCACGGTTAGAAGAATGTTACTGTTAGGCAATAGCTTCCCTTAGTCTATTGCTTTGTAGATACGACAAACACGTATTGCTTTCATCCATAAGTTTATCTCCTGAGCTAATAACCTCAAATGTTGGAAAGGTTATCTCTTGTCAGTCTACCACTTCATATCTTTCTTAATAAACATAATTGTTCTCCCTCTTTATTTTCTCCTACCTGATTCAGGAAGGGGTGGAAACCCATGTGAAGAGATGCTGGCATCAAAGTAGACCTCCCCATTGCTGCCTGCTTCTTGTAATCATGGCATCTCCTCCGTACATCCTCATCTTCCCACTCTTGCAGATTTTCCTATTTGTTTTTCATGTTACAGAAAGAAAAATCAGTCTGAGTAATCTAACAATGTATGCCCCTTCCCTGGAAGCAAGCATTCAATGCCAGGTTTGGGAGATGGGGCTTTGGGCAATTTGATTCTGTGGGAGATGTCCCTGCCAATAGCAGGAATTTGGAACTAGATGATCTTAAAGGTCCTTTCCAACCCAAACCATTCTATGATTCTGTGTTGATATGCTTTGCTTTTGTATATAGACACCAGCTGCAACCATGTAGCTTTTTCATTTTGAGGCAGAGATAATAATAAATAATTGCTGCTTCTTACCTGTTTATTAGTTGCTTATCTTCCTTCCCTTAGGAGTAGGTAGTAGAGCTGTATTATTTCTGCTTTTTTTTTTTTTTTTTTTTTTACTCCTGATAATGATCTTGCTAGTTTTCCTTCCTGCCCGAATACTTACAGAAGCTTCCCCCTCATGCAGTCATATTTTCTGCTTAAGGCAGTTGAAATGGTGCTGGCTCCCTGGATCCAGATATCTTGAATAAAGCCACAGTGTTCTATTTGTGGGGGGGGGAAGAGACTGCAGACACGAAGAAACAGCTGGAAATGTGGAAGAGCAACCAGCATGCAACTAACCAGCTAGTGAGAACTGTTCTAAATCTCTGTAGAAGAGCAGCTAATAAGAGTCCAATTAGTTCTCCTTATTTGTGAGGCAGGTTGGCAGTGTCAGAACAAAAAATATATGGTGTCAAGCCAGTATAGCAAAGGAGAAAGGGTAATTAAATTATGAAGGAGATTGAAAAATAAAGGAAATATTCACCATCCTTCCTCCCCATGCCCTGTTCTACTTTGGTTCTTCTGTTATGTGTCATAGTTCAAATATGAAGCTGTGTTAGGCTAATAGTACAAAGCTGGTTTTATAGAGTAGAAATGCCAGGATGTCAGGATGATGACGTTGATGAGTTATTCTTTAAGGAACTCCCATCCAGATCATCAGTAAAGATATTAAATAGGCCTGGCCAGTACAGGCAGGGCAGAAAGCTGGCTTGGCACGACAAATTCTAGAGCTTAGGTGGAAAAAGTGTATGGCTGCTGGAAGCAAGGTCAGGTGACATGAAAAGACTACAAGGATGCTGTTTATAGGGAAAAAAATAGTGCAGCCAAAGGTCAGTTAGAGTTGAAGCTGGCCAACACTGTGGCAGACAATAAAAAGTTAATCTTTAAATACAAAAGGAAGACCAGAGAGAACATTGGTTCTTTACTTGATGAGAATGGTCATCTTACAAACAAGGACATAGACAAAGCAGAGACATAAAATGCCTTCTTTGCCTCTGTCTTCAACACTGATGATGGGCTCTGACACACCAGGTGCCTCGAGATGGAGGACTGTGAGAATGAACTCACAGTCAACTGTGAACTTGCACAGGATTTGCTGTTCCACTTGGGTTTATATTAAGTCCATGGAGCCCAATGGGATTCATCCCAAGGTACTCTCAGAGCAATGTCTTTGAGAGACCTCTCTCAATTATTTTTCAGTGATCTTAGGAATTTGGGGAGATCAGACAGCTCCCAGTTGACTGGAAGCTGGCAGATGTTCCAATTTTCAAGAAGGATGAGAAAGAAGACCCTGGTAATTATGGGCCTGTCAGTCACACCTCAGTGCCTGGTAAAGTAAGGGAGAAAATTATGCTGGGAGTTACTGACAAACACCTGAAGGACAATGAAGTTGTTGGTCACAGCCAACATAGGTTCATGACAGGAAGGTCCTGTTCAACTAACTTCATTTCCTTTTATGACAAGATCACCCATCTAGATGATGAAGGAAAGCCAGCTGATGCCATCATTATGCATTTCAGTAGAGCTTTCAATGCTGTTCCTTACAGTGTCTTTCTGGACAAAATGTCCAGCACACAGCTAGACAAAAACATAATGTGATGGATGAGCCATTGGCTGACTGGTCGGGCCCAAAGGGTTACATCAGGGGTTACATCAGGCTGGCAGCCAGTCATGAGTGAGATTTCCCAGAACTCCATGTTAGGGCCAGTTCTCTTTAATGTTTTCCTAACTTGTATGTAGGACTAGAAGATGCTTTCAGCAAGTCTGCTGATGATACTAAACTGGGGGGAACTGTTGATTCCATCGAGGGTAGAGAGACCTCGCAGAGATATCTAGACAAATCAGAGGGTTAGGCAATCACCAACCACAACAAATTTAACAAATTTGACAACAAAAGTTTAACAAATGCCAGATTCTGCACCTGGAAGCAGCAGCCCTGGCTATTCATACAGACTGAGGGATGCAGTGCTGCAGAACAGCCCTGCAGAAAGGGATTTGGGGGTCTTGGTTGGAAGCAAGTTGAACAGCAGCCAAGAATACCAACCAGTTCCTAATGTGCATCAAGCACAGCACTGCTAGCTGCTTAAGGGAAGTGGCTGTTCTAGTTTACACTGCACTGATGTGGCCTCACTTTGAGTGCTGTGTGAAGGTTTGGATGGTACAAAAAGGACATGAAAGAGGGCTAAAAGATGGCGAAGAGTCTGGATTAGAAGACTTTTTGAGCAGAAATTAAACTCCTTTGTTTTGTTCAGCCCAGAGAAGAATGAGAGACCTCATTGTGGCTGACATCTTCCTCACGAGGGGAGCAGAGGTGCAGGTGCTGATCTCTCTCTAGTGACCAGTGATGGAACCCAAGGGAATGGCATGAAACTCTGACAGAGGAGGTTCAGGTTGGATTTGGGAAGGGCATCCAGCTGTTGGAGCAGGTCCAGAGGAAGGCCATGAAGATAATCAGAGGGCCTGAGCACCTCCCCTACCAGGACAGGCTGAGAGAGCTGGGGCTCTTCAGCCTGGAGAAGGCTCTGGGGGACCTTATAGCAGCCTTCCAGAATCTGAAGGAGGACAACAGGAAAGGTGGGGAGGGACTTTTTATAAAGGCATGTAATGACTGGACAAGGGGAAATGGCTTTAAACTGGAAGAGGGTAGATTTAGAGACCAGACTGGATGGAACTTGGAGCAACCTGGTCTTGCGGGAGGTGTCCTTGCCTATAGCAGAAGGGTTGGAACAAGATGATCTTGAAGGTCTCCTTCAACCCAAACCATTCTGTGATTCTAAGATTCTATGATTCTGTGATATCAAGAAAACGTTCTTCACTGAGAGAGTGGTTGGGCACTGGAACAGGCTCCCCAGGACAGTGGCCATGTCACCAAGCCTGCCAGAGTCCAAGAAGTATCTGAACAATGCTCTCAGACAATGGTCCGATCTTTGGGTGGTCCATTGTGGAGGCAGGAGCTGGACTCAATGATCTTTACTGGTCCTTCCTAACTCAGGATATCCTATGATTCCATGAAAGCATTTGCAAAGCTAAAAAAAAAATAGGTATGGAAAAGGTAGAAAAGTTCCAAAGTTCAGAAAACCGAAGAGGAAAGGGAAGACAAAAAATTTTTGCTTAGCAATGATTATATTTGCAATAGCACTCTGCTTTGCCTTGCTCTCTCTCCCCCTATAGGAGAGATATACTATTCTCTCCCTCTTTAGAGGGCTTAGTTTTTCCGAGTTTATCTGTGACGTACATTCTCTGATGGTGCAGGGATATCCCCTCGCACATCTGAGGTCACAAATAAAGAATGCCTGCTCGCTAACACCACATTAACGAGTTTATTCCCGAATTTCGGGTGACACAGCAATATTTGCCTAATGCAGAAGACAGAACGATTTCAGTACTCATATTGTAAAATGAATGGACAGAACGACAGACGAGTTAGAAGACGTACAGCAACGTGCCAAATCCTCACTGCAGCGATCACCTGCGAAGCAACCCTCCCAACAAAAAAAAATCCCACAGCAACCAAATACCCACAACCAAAACCCAGCCCAAACTGGGAAGAAGCGGCTTCGCTGTCGAACCAAGCCGAACACGGCTGGTCGGTTCCTGTGACTGCACGTATTTTTACGGCGCGGAGCAGCAGCAACCGCTGAAGTCACCGCTGCGCAACCTCCGGCGTTCCTGAGGGAAGAAGCGGAGGTGAGAGCGAGATCCGGTCGGCTCCCTCCCCCGCCGGGGGGGGGTGGGCGGGGCAGCGCGGCGCGGCCTCGCGGTTCATTGGCGGCCGTTTAGCGCGGCGTCACGGCGGGCGGCCCCGCGTTCCCGCAGCTCCGCGGCGGAGCGGGATGGCGGCGGCCGGCGCGTGGGCGGCAGGTCGGGGCGCGCGTGTGCGAGGGGAGGAGGGGCGGGGACGGCTGGTGCCGCACGAGGATCCCGCCCGACGGCCCGCTCGGCCGCTGGGGGGCCGCGAGCGCCCGCGGGGAGCCGCGGCTCTTTCCCCGCTCTCTCGCCCGCTCTCGCTCCGCCGGCTCTCCCGCCCCCCCGCCCCTTCTCCTCCCTCTTCGCGCTCAGTTCCCGCGCCGTGGCTCCGCTGCCCGAGCCGCCCCTGACCGTCCCGCCCGCCCGCAGGTCCCGGCCGGCCGAGGCGGGGCGCGGCCGCGGCGCCCGCCTGAAGCTCGGCGGAGGAGGCGCGGCGCCGCCCCGTTCCCGCCGCCGCCCGGCATGGAGGCGGCCGGCCTGGAGTGGCTGCTGGGCCCGATGCGGCGGCTGGCGTCGTGGGGCGCGGCGGCGGCCATGGTGTTCGGCGGCGTGGTGCCCTACGTGCCCCAGTACCGCGACATCAGGCGGACGCAGAACGCCGAGGGCTTCTCCACCTACGTGTGCTTGGTGCTGCTGGTCGCCAACATCCTGCGGATACTGTTCTGGTGAGCGGCTCCTCCCTGCTGCCGGCTTCCGAGCTCTTAGGTAGAACGGCTGGGGAAGTGGCGGCCTTGCTGTGCTTCCTCCCCTCTCCCGAAGAGCCTGGCGTGCCCCGTCCCGCCGTGTGACCGCTCAGCTCGGCTCAGCTCAAAGCGTCCGGGCGCACGGCGCTGCTGCTGCCCTTAGCGGAGCTGCCGGCCGGTGCTCTGCCGTTCCCAATAGGGCTCTCTCAGACGCTGGTAAATAGGCTTGTTTTAAGCCAGAGCTGCTTTTCCTTGCTGAGCTTTGTGCTTCCCTTGCTCTCGAAGCTCTGCGCTTTGAGCGAAGGCCCCAGTTCTGCACGCACGCTTTAGCACCCAGGTGGTGTTAAAACCACTGGAATGTTAGCCAGGCGTTTGAGCATT